GTTACCACTTCTAGATGATGCCATGAAGAACAAAAGTATCTGCAGGTTCACTTGAATGTCAGCTTTTGCATGCTCTCTCTTGTTACACAACAAAGTCTTAAACACTACTACGTTTTCTGATGCTACTTCTTAGGGTATTAGACAAATGAACTTATGAATTAATTCTTTAAAAATCCCTTTGTTTAAAAAACAGAAACTGATCCCCCATATATTGTGGTTTAAGCAAAAGTTCAGAGTGAGGCAACTTAATCACCTCACATTTAGTAATGGATATGCTTGCAATAGCATCAGCTGAGAGAGAAGTCCCAGCTGGGGAAGGCAGACAAAGCCCCACCCCTTTCCCAAGACCATGACCTTTCATGACCTTTCCACCCACTCAAGCACCACCCAACCCCAGCTGAGGGACAGAGCTACCACACTGCGTGGCTCCAGGCCCCCCAGCCGCTAGGGATCCAGGCTGCCACATGGCACAGCTCCAGCTTTCCCCGGCTGGCAGAGAGCCAGGTTGCCACACTGAAAGGCCCCAACCTGCCCCAGCCTTTTCCAGCCGCTGGGAAGCCACATGGCACAGCCCCAACCTTCCCCAGCTGCGAGGAATCCAGGCTGCTGCACAGCACAGCCCCAGCCCCTCTTGGGCAGTTGGGCAGTGAGGCAATTTTGGGAGGGCAATGCCTTCCATTGCCTACATTGCCAGCCACCTATGTGCAGTAGGGATGTAAAATCCTGCTTAATTGGTTAACCGACTAAACATATTGTTTAACTGGTTAACCAACTAAGGTGGGACTGGGTGGTGCTTACCGGTTAACCAGTTAAACATTCACATCCCGAGCTTGCCAAAAACTCTGATCTATATAATCTCTTCTCTATTGGGGTATGTCTACACTACCACCATAGTTCGAACTAGGGTGGTAATGTAGGCAACCAGAGTTGCAAATGAAGCCCGGGATTTAAATTTCTCAGTCTTCATTTGCATAAAGCCGGGCGCCGCCATTTTTAAATGTCTGCTAGTGCGGACTCCGTGCCGCGCGGCTACACGCGGCATGGACTAGGTAGTTCGGACTAGGCTACCTAGTCCGAACTACCGTTACTCCTCGTGAAACGGTGAAAAGAGGAGTAACGGTAGTTCAGACTAGGAAGCCTAGTCCGAACTACCTAGTCCGTGCCGCATGTAGCCGCGCGGCACGGAGTCCGCACTAGCGGACATTTAAAAATGGCGGCGCCCGGCTTTATGCAAATGAAGCCCAGGAAATTCAAATCCCGGGCTTCATTTGCAACTCCGGTTGCCTACATTACCACCCTAGTTCGAACTAGGGTGTTAGTGTAGACATACCCTTGGGGAGTTGTTTTTCTCCATTTCTAGTCAATGTATATAAATTCAATGTATATATAAAGTAAGAAAAACTATTATATTTGCTGCTAATCTTTAATGCCAAACTTTGTCAGCAAATGAAAACAGTTTACACTAATTAAAAAGGCACCTTAGGGTTAAACATATTTCATTAAAACAAGACATAGCTTCTGTATTTGCTAGCTAAAATCTGTGTTCTCTCAATGCAATGTCAGGAAGCTGTCAGGTGGAATTGTAATGCTCTGCAGTGTGTGTTAATTCTTAGGACACAGACTGGATTCCTACATCAAACAAGCAATGACATGGAGGATAACAATTCTGTTAATTCTAGAGCAGAATAGAAATGAATGAGAATTTCACAGGACCTATTTCCTAATTAACAATGAGCAAATTCATCTATATCAAATATAGTAGAATTAAAGATGACAAACACCAGAAAAAAAAACTTCCTAAACTGACAAAACCAGATGCAAGTTCAAGGGCAACCTCACTTCTGCATAATAAGTCATTCAAACAGGATATGGCATCACTCTGAAAGTCTTCATAAACCTATTTACTTCACAGAACCTGATACGCCCTAACAGATATCTAGCTACACATGTTCCCTTTGCATTTTGAGTAATAATATTTAGAAGTAATAATGTGCTTTAAAAGTTCAAAGCACTGTACAAACATTAAGCTTTGGAAGGAAAGATGAAAGTGTAATATTCAAGACAGGTTAAAAGTGAATTGCCTAAGGGAACAGAGCAAGGTAATTACTCAAGAGTTCCCAGGTTTTCCTCAAACTCCATAGGTAGTATTTTTGACTGGGCTGGATATTTGATAACTAGAATTATTTGTTTAGCTCCATCATATAATCTAATTCTGTCAAACTCAGGTTCTTTTTTGGGGAAAAGGGGGCATAAGGGAGTGGGGAAGGCAGAGTAATTTTTTTGGTTTCATAGGAAACTTTGCAAATACGGAATGAGCGCAAACCCACGCCAACCTGATGCAGGATTCTCATCCTGATTCTGCAGACAGTCTGAAATGGCAGCTCTAAAAGAGATGTACATGACTGACAACTGCCCTAATGGGTACAAATTGACCAGTAACACTTAAATCTAATGATGGGATTACGAAAGCTTCGTTTCCCAACAATTTAGAGGTGGAACTGTGGGCCTGATTTACATAACTGCAAATACATACATAAAACAAAGAATGACATGCAAAAACAGCCTAAAAATAGGGAAGGAATAACAATGATATGGAAGTGTTCTGTATTGATATTTTTCTTACTGCTACTGAATTCCAGAATGACATTAGCAAGGACCCAATCCTGTATGGCACTCCTGAGCCCATATCGCATGCCACCAACTTAACTGAGGCCTCATACAGGGAACCCCACACAAGCAAACAGAACCCTGGGCAGGAGCAATGCCTACAAATGAAGGAATATATAATGGCTGTACACTACTCTCTGTCCTAGTACAAGCATTCTGTTGTAATTAATAAGAAATGAGTATATATGACAAACTTTATAGTGCATGCCCACATATTTTGCCCATTTCATGGAATGAGCTTGAGCTGGAATGAGCTTTGATGATCCTGCCTCCCACAGAGTAATCTACTTCTCTCAGTCACACACACACACACACACACACACACACACACACACACACACACTCTCTTAAAAGGATCTGCATTTTCTAATTCATATTCTATCATTCTAGGAACATATCCACCTGTCTGTAAATGATTGGAAGAGGCATTTTAATGCAGCTTTCATTCAGACTGGAGCACACATATATCAGAAACAAGAATATCTTTACTAGATACATGCAGTATTATGGAGATCCTCGAGGCATTTGATAAGTTTCCAGGTTCCTGGTGGAGATTCAAAGAGGGAGTTTGGACAAGTGTAAAGTGAAGACAAGGTTTTAGTTAAATATATAAATACTATGGGCTCTCCAAAAATATACTACAGGTTGCACCTCCCTAAACCAGGACTCTCTTATCCAGCAACATCCATGGTCTGACATGACCATGGATGTTGCTGAACGAGTGCGCCCTGGGGTTGGAGGGCTAGTAGCTGAGAGCCCCATGCAAGGCGAGACTGATGATAGCAGGGCCAGGGCGGTGGTGGCAGGGTCATGGTAGTGGGGCAGGAGTAGCCTGTACATGCTGGCCTGGAAGTGAGGCTGTGCGCAGCACAGCAGGGGAAGCCTATCTGAGACTGCGGCAGCAGAGCCAGGACGGCGTCAACCCATCTGGGGCCGCGGCAGGTTGGCAGCCCAATTTGGGCAGCATGCCAGCTGGTAGTGAGGCCAGGGTTGCATACTGCCATGCCAGCAGGGGGGCTGGAGGAACAACTATGGTAGCAGGGCCGGGGCAGCTGTGTCACCCGGCCGGCAGCAGACCCTAAGGAGCCAGCATCTGGGAGGGGCGGCAGCCTGAGGAGGCTGGTGGCAGGGGACCTTCCCTGATCTGGCAAATTCCCTCATCCAGGACCGCTCAGGTCCTGAGCCTACTGCACCAGTGAGGTCCAACCTGTATTGTAGGCCCCTCAAATTCACAGTCATAACAACAGATCACAGATGTGAAATGTGGTCTCTTCCTACGAAATCTGGTCTTTTGTGTGCTTTTATACCACCTTCTCCTGATTTCATGGCAGAGACCAGTGTTTCTGAAATTGGAGTCGCAGTGAGGTCACAAAGTGATTTTAAGGGGTCAACTTATTGCCACTCTTACCTCTGTTTGGCCTTCACAGCTGAGTGGCCAGAAAGCGCTGGCTGTTGGCATCCAGTTCTGAAGGCGGTGCCCCGCCAGCATAACAGCACAGACGTAAGGTGACAATACTGTACTATGCCACCCTTACATATGCGGTGCTGTCTTCAGAGCTGGGAAGCTGGAGAGTGATGGCTACTCGGGCCCCAGCTCTGCAGTAGCAATACCGTACCATGTCATCCTTACTTCAGTGATGCTGCTGGCAGCAGTGGCTCTGCTTTCAGAATTGGGCTTGCCAGCAGCTGCCACTCCCCAGCTCTGAAGATGGTGCTTTCACCAGCAGCAGTGCAGGAGTAAGGGTAGGAGTACTGCAACCAGCCCTACAAAAACCTTGTGCCCCCCACTCCACACACGCGCGCACGCACACACACACACACACACACACGCACAATTTTTTCTCAGGTCAGGATCCCTACACTTATAACGTTGTGAAATGTACGATTTAAATAGCTGAAAACCAATAAATTTATTATTTTTAAAATATTACTGAAACTGACCAAAATGGACCATGAATTTGATAGGAACCTCACTATACAAGTACATATTTGTATATTTGGTGGGGGAGGTAGAGGGTTAAACTTAAAAGGTGAGTAATTCACATCAACCACAATCCAACAAAGCATATGCTGTATGTTAAGTTAGTTAGTACAGTATTTCCAGTCACTTCAATAGGTTAAGCATATACTTAAAGTGTTTTGCTGCACCAGGGCTTCATCTGATCAATTTTAGACTGTATGGAGGGAGGAGAACTGAGACTCCTACCACACTGTTGTGATCATTGAAACTCAGGTTCGTGCTATTGTAAATGTTTTGCAATATAGACATGGCAGAGCGTCAACTCCCAAAATGTTGATTTCACGAGTCAAAAATGTTTGCTTTGTTATTATAGGATCTGGGCATTTGAGAAATTAAACATTTAGAGGAATCTGAGTGCACATCCTTATTGGTACATCCTGGAGTACACCCTGATAGGTAAGAAGATCTTTATCCTCCTCTTGTAGGTTTTGGATTTAGTAGCCATTCTTCTGATATATCATTATGTCTTCTGTATTCCTGTTCAATAAGCATGTCACTGGATCATTTTTCTCTCTGTGCTCTATGACATATGCTAATGATAATGTGCAGTCAGACCCACACAGACTGACAGGGCAGGTTCTGAACTATGTTTCCTTCCAGCCTGATCTTCATTCAAAAGTGACAACTGACAGCCTCTCTGTCTTCACTTTGCAGTTCAGAAAATGAAAGAAGAGACTTTAGCTAACAAGGGGTATAACAGTGACTCATGCAAGCTAAATCAATTAATCCAATACCAAAAAGGGGAGAGTGAATGCAAAAAGACAGGCAACAGGATGTAGAGAAAGGAAAAAGCAGAATAGGATAAGATCTTTGGAAGAAAATAGGAGGGAGCTGGGGGGGAAGAGAGAGAAGCTATTCCAGGGCCAACAGAGAAAATACAGATTCCCAGAAATCTCAGTGATTCCCATTTGAGCTGATTGCAGGCCCCCAGTTCACTGCACCAAAGGGATAAATCCAACATTCATATAGTGGGGAACCATCTGGACCCCTCCCAGTAGCTTTTTGAGAACAGAATCCCTTTGTCACATTAAGTGCTTCTAGGTTTACTGGAGTCTTCTTTTACTGCAAATGGCTCTAAGCATCTCTGCACCACTGGAAATGTCTCTAGCAGCGTTAATCAATCAGAGGCATTTAAAATACACAGAATAAGGTGATTTTCAGGATACAAGGACAGTCAGAACATGACAGCAAGGGGCACACTCCCTAACGGACCTCAATCCTGCCTTTAAATTAATATTCCCTGTGAGGGCTGTTCCCCACGCTGGCACTCCAAGTGCAGGTGGTGAGGGCCCACAAAGCTCAAAAAGAAACAAAAACAAAAACCTTTGCCTCTATAGACACTGGTTACAAAAAACTTCCCCCCAGAATCACAATACAAGGATATTAGGGAAATCGCTGCCATCATCAAGTGATTTTTAGCCCTAAAAAAAATCAGGGGTTAATACTTGAACTCTCTCTCAGGGTACACCAAGCTTTTTTGCCCTAAAAGAGCATGAAAAAAGAAAAAGAGGAAAAACAAGCTGCAGTTTCTCACAGCTGACCTCACAGTGTGAGGCATTCAGATACAGAAAGACCTTTCAGAACACAAGAATCAAATCATCACCTTAAAAAAAAGTGATTTTTTTATTACAAAACAAAAGATAAACTTGATAAAGCATACTTGGTTGATAGATGTTATAAAGCAACTAAGGAAAACAAATGCTAGATGGAGAGGGGAGGCATAGATTCGAAAGAAAGAAAGAAAGAAAGAAAGAAAGAAAGAAAGAAAGAAAGAAAGAAAGAAAGAAAGAAAGAAAGAAAGAAAGAAAGAAAGAAAGAAAGTGAACTCAACTAGATTCACTTTTCCCTTTACCTACTTCAAATTTTCAATTTGTTCAATCCACTCCTATGCCCCAAATTCCTTGGACATCTGGTAGTTCTGCCTGGGTTTAAATCATTCTGTGTCTCAACTTCTAGTTTTTCTCTTTCACACAAAGAAAGCAGGCAAGGAATCTATATCCAATTTAAATTTCATCCCTCTCTCTCAATTGTTTCTCCTGGCTCCCTGGCCAACACCTTTGCTACCTACCCGAATTTAACCCTTTAGTTGCCAGGTGCTGGTCAGCACTCCCCCGTCCATTACATTCCCCAAAAACCTCAGCTGTACTCAAGACTGCTCTCCCTTAAAATACACAATTCTACATGACCTAAAGAGCTGCCCATATCCATGAAACCTCATTAAACTCTTCCCCTCAAAATCCAAATTTAAAAGCAGAATGTTCACCAAAAACGTAAACAAATGCAGAGAGGTAGAGCCACCAGCTACCAAATCTATACATGTAAGTTTCCAGGCATAAAATAGCCTTGTGATACTAAAATTACATGTGCAAAAAATGGAAGGTGCACATATAGATTGAGCCCTGTGCGGATATAAAACTGTGGATCCGCATCTGATCCATATCTGCTAGAAACAACACGTATCCAGTCTGCAATCTGCTCCCCACCTTTTACCTATATCCACATCCACAGAACCTCAGCAGCAGCAAGCCATCTCACAGTGCTTGCTCCAATATCAGCAAAAAGGAATGGTGGATATCTCCATCTGAGCACGAGGCTATCCTTGGCTATAGAGTAAATGCCTGCGGATTTGCAGGGCTCCACATACAGATGCTCCTTTACAAAATTTAGCCTATATGTTTATTCAATCTAGAATTTTCGAGTCTTTGTTTATTAACTTCAAAATTCTCCAGTTGGACTAGAGAATCTGGGTGCTATCACTAACCTTTAAAAGCTCTGATAGCCATATTCCCAGCATAACCGCTACCATAGACGGCTACCTCTCTGCATGGGGCTTATAAGCAAAGTTTATGCAAGAGGTAATGTCGTCAAGTAGACTGACAACTGAAACAGAGGTTTGACTTCACAGCAGAATAAAGTAAACAGCTATGCTGCCATGGAGTGGTGGTGATGTTACAGTGCTGATTACTAATTAAATAGCAATATTGCTGATCGAGTTGGTGAGGAATGTTTTGATAAAAGTGGCCTTTTTCACTGAGGTGGTTTCTCGGGTCTACAGGGAAAAAAGATCTATCACCTCAGAATAGCAACTGGATAGTCCCCTGGTATGTAAGAGACTCTAGTTCTTGCTTTGAATCAGGGACTCGAACACCTAGCATTCAGGCTACTGATTATTGTGGGATCTCTCTCTAAACCGCAAAAATTCTAGTTTTTATTCTAATACAGCATGAAATTAAATGCCAAAAGAATCAAAACTTTTCATGAAACATCATTTATGTTTGCTAGACAGTGCTAATTACCAATCTGTCCCAAACCCTTTTTCCTCACAGTTTTTACCCCTCTAGCAATTAAGAAAATAACTTCCTAGTCTTCTCACTTCTATAGTACTCTGAGTACCATCCTTCACTATGATGAACATTGAATGCTAGTGGGAAGGGGGTAGGTTTAGAAGATAAAATTTAAAAAAAAGAATAAGTTAAAAATCACCTAGAAAAGTTAGATGCCTGCAAGTCACCAGGGCCTGATGAAATGCATCCTAGAATACTCAAGGAGCTGATAAAGGAGGTATCTGAGCCTCTAGCTATCATCTTTGGAAAATCATGGGAGACAGGAGAGAGTCCAGAAGACTGGAAAAGGGCAAATATAGTGCCCATCTATAAAAAGGGAAAGAAGAACAACCCAGGAAACTACAGACCAGTTAGTTTACATTATCTTTCCTGGCACAGAAGTTAATTAAGATAATTAAGTAATTAAGGAAATCATCTACACTTGGAAGGTAGTAAGGTGATAGGGAACAGCCAGCATGGATTTGTAAAGAACAAATCATTAGAATTAGTTTCACCTGAAAGAACTTTGTTTTGTTTTTTTAAAAACAACTGGTCACCTGAAGAAGTTAGCTGTGCCCATGAAAGCTCATACCACCATCTACATGCTTTGTTAGTCTTTAAAGTGCTACCAGACTATTTGTTGTTTTTTAAAAGTTTGTTAAAATATATTCCACAAAATACATGGGATACGCAGGGGTCTGTTTTGGGACCAGTTCTGTTCAATATCTTCATCAACTATTCAGATATTGGCATTGAAAATACACTTAAGTTTGCAGATGATACCAAGCTGGGAGGGGTTGCGACTGCTCTGGAGGATAGGGTCATAATTCAAAACGATCTGGACAAATTGGAGAAATTGTCTGAGGTAAGCAGGATGAAGTTTAATAAAGACAAATGCAAAGTGCTCCACTCAGGAAGGAACAATCAGTTTCACACATACAGAATGGGAAGCGACTGTCTAGGAAGAAGTATGGCAGAAAGGAATCTAGGGTTATAGTGGACCACAAGCTAAATATGAGTCAACAGTGTGATGCTGTTGCAAAAAAAGCAAACATGATTCTGGGATGCATTAACAGGTGTGTTGTGAGCAAGACACAATAAGTCATTCTTCCGCTCTACCCTGCCCTGGTTAGGCCTCAGTTGGAGTATTGTGTCCAGTTCTGGGCACTGCATTTCAAGAAAGATGTGGAGAAATTGGAGAGGGTCCAGAGAAGAGCAACAAGAATGATTAAAGGTCTAGAGAACATGACCTATGTAGGAAGGCTGAAAGAATTGGGTTTGTTTAGTTTAGAAAAGAGAAGATTGAGGGGGGACATAATAGCAGTTTTCAGATATCTAAAAGGGTGTCATGAGGAGGAGGGAGAAAACTTGTTCATCTTGGCCTCTGAGGATAGAACAAGAAGCAATGGGCTTAAACTGCAGCACGGGAGGTTTAGGTTAGAAATTAGGAAAAAGTTCCTAACTGTCAGGGTAGTCAAACACTGGAATAAATTGCCCATGGAGGTTGTGGAATCTCCATCTCTGGAGATATTTAAGAGTAGGTTAGATAAATGTTCATCAGGGATGGTCTAGTCAGTTCTTGGTCCTGCCATGAGGACAGGGGACTGGACTCGATGACCTGTCGAGGTCCCTTCCAGTCCTAGTATTCTATGATTCTATAATTTATACAACTGACTCTAGAAAAATTCCTCTAGAAAAGCCAAAAAGGAAAAAAAACAAAAACAAACATCCCAAGATGAGAAAGTGATTCCACCATCAGCAAGCTTGTAGGCTTTGGTCAAGTCTAAAGTAGGAGTTTGAGGACCTATGCAAGTAAAACCTCCTTGTTGTTCTGGCTCAGAAGGTAGCATAACATGAGGTACCTGCAGTAATAAATATTTTGTAGTATACATTCTGCCCTTACTTGCATTTTACCAATCCTCATCTAATTTTGGGGAGGTCGCAAATATGTAAATAAAAGCAGAATTAGCTGATGATACCAAAGTCAGAAATCAAGCTTGTCCTCATTTTGCTGGATAAACTATGCACTGCTGATAGTAAAGAAAGCATAGAAATTGGCATCAGACAGTGTCT